CCGTTGCTTATTATCTCTGTCCATGGAATTTTCAGTATCCTTCTTTATAAGCACGTTTCCTTTTGCTTATAGTTTTTCTTTCTTCATCTGTAGGGAGATTTTCTATCATTCACTGTCATATAAGAGGATTGATGTCACATAAGCATTTCATTTCTGTTTTCTTTGTTTATAACGAAATGATCATATTTCTTAGTACTTAGTTTAGATTATGGAAACTTTCGCTAATTCAATACACAATTTAGGTGTCATTTTTCTCTTGGCTTTACAAAACAAATCTATGAATGAAAATCGGAAATAGGTTTTGTCACGACGAGGATAGAAAAGCAATAAGAAACATCAATTTTAAAAACACGTGGATAGCAAAATAACGCTATTAAAATCATATCAGTTCCATAAATCGTCAAAGAATGAACAAGGAAAGGAAATATCACATTTTAAAACAAGATTACAAAATGAATTATGAAAATAAAATCGCAATATTCCTATGTCATAGAGATCAAAAGGGAAAGAAGATTCGTTCAGAAATGAAAAATAAAACGCAAATTGAAGCGATGTAAATACCCTTCAGTTAGAACTAACATTAAATTAAAAAAAAATAGGAAACAAAATTTGTAAGAAATGAATTTAGAATAAAGTATCGGTCTCTGTATAGAAGATAAAACGAAATAAAAAAGCAAACAAAAAACAAGCATGACAAATATGAAAATACACTTTAAGTAAAATTTAGACATTAAATAATATATACGGAACCTAATGCATCAGAAATAAAAAAAAAAAAACACTACGAAACAAATGAAATATTGTGGTTTACAAAATGAAGACGTACAATTACACCGGTAACTTGATATATTAAAAGAGATGAGCGCCAAAAAACGCCGTAGATATTGATTCATAAAATATATGGTTTACAGAGCTAAGTTATAAAAAGCATTGGAAACATAATATGACGAGGGGGATGAATGAGTAAGGCAACAGATCTAAACTAGAAAATATGAAATATCATTATTTAAAAATGGCTGTCTAAATATAAGATAGCGAATATGATATGACATAAAATAAAGGGCGAAAATGAAATATCATCGCCAATAGTAAATGCGAAAACAAAGGTTTTGCAAAATGAAAGCACACATGAATAAATATATAACGTAAACTTCATATATCTTAAATTGAGAACGAGAAATATACTCAATAATAATAAACATGGACGCGCAATGTTTTTTTTTTATAGAATTAAAATAAGAATTTCTTAGATCAAAAGAAAAGAAAAACCAAAACATAACAATAAATATGGAAACTCATGACTTAGAAGAAATGGTCGATCTAACATCGGTTAGCAAGAACGATACAGAAACACGTCACAATAAATAAGAGAATATATATGGTTTAAAATGGAGTGTGAGAAAGAATATCAGAAACGAATACATCAGAGTGAACTAACAAGAAATAAAACCCATTAAAATGACAAGTATGAATATTTCTGGTCTGAAAAATAACATCACTTCGGGAATACATCATAAAGGATTTGTCATAAAAACAAACATAACAAAACATACCTTACAAAATAAAGTCATAGCAATAACATTACGATGTCGATGCATGATGAAGAAAGAATGGGAAATAAGCTCATTAGAAAAACAAATAAAATATAAAAAGGTTTAAGAAATAAAAGCGCGAAGATAAAATTGGGAATTGATCCGATAGTAAGAACGAAGCAGAAAGAAATGGCGTCACAAATTGCTTTACAAAATGAAGGTATCGACATAAAACCACAATCTTTAAACATTATAACAAAAGAATGATAACAAAATCGGTAAAAATATAATAGATATGGAAACAACTTGGAAATTGATTGTTGTGACAAATTTGACAGTTATTCTAAAGACAAACGAATGAATACCTTTAAAAAATCGAAAAAAGTGACAATTTTTTTTCGATAGATAGAATCACACTGAAACACATGCACACATTTACATATATATACACACATAATCATATTTCGTCTGATCATCATATATATATATATATATATATATATATATATATATATATATATATATATATATATATATATATTGTACAGGTAATAGATTTGTTGGTATGTAATCCAGATGGAAATTAAAAATTAATAAAGAAACACTTCCGCCAAAAAAAAAAACTCTAAGTAAGATCTTCAATAGAAAATCGATCAAAATTAGTTATTCCTGCATTAATAACATGTAACAAATTATCAACTTCCATAATAATTATATCTTGAATAAATTCTCTGGAAAAAAATCTAGTACGGGCACCCTTCCCGCCCCATAATTGTAGAGATAATGAAAACTTCCTAGTCTAGGGCAAATTCAAATCCACTAGGGTAATATAGGAGGCAACCATTGCCCCTAAAGACAATATGACACATTATAATGTTTACATCCATTTTGGCCATTCTTCACGCCTGTGATACTTGAATGGTTTGTTGATTCTCATATCTAATGGTTGCAGTTGGGAATTAATGCCACCAGGAATTACAGCTAAAATTGTTAGCATTTTTTCGTAGCAATACACCTGGTAGACTGGACCACACTTTTTCCATCCACACTTTTTTGCATTCACATTCTTTCCATCCACACTTTAACTCCCGCTTGAAAATCAACAACGGTTGTAGTTTGGTGCCATCAGCGCAACAAGCTAAAACTGCAGTGTAGTGAATCTTTTCATAACCGGTGGTTTTAATAGTTACTGTTTTGGTACCTTTCACATCTATGCTTTTATTAGAAGGTATGTCAAATATTAAAGGAACTTCATCCCTATTCCCGAGCTGGTTACTGAGCTTCTTTCTCGTATTAATGAAAAATTCATGGACGATCCGTATTTTCTGTTCATATCCACCTGGCATCTTTTTGAGATATTTTAGTTATTATTCATAAGCATAACTTGTTTCGCTTCATGAACCGAAAACTCTAAGACGTAGTGTCATTGAATCCTTTACTTCCATATTCGTTGCGAGTTATTCCTGCTCTCAAGATTATCACTTTCGTACTAACTGTAACACCAACTGTATTCTATTATCTATGCCCATAAGTCTCTCTCTAACTGCGGCCATTTTCCTGGAACTTGACGTAAATTCGGCTCTGCCTTGTTTCCAACTTCACTCTATCATTCTAAATTCCTTCAATGGCAAATCATATTTTGGTAGGCTGTGGTCCAAAGTGTCTTTCTGCTGCACTGTTGCTGTACTCTTTGGCATATCGTACAACTTGTTACTTGTATGCAATATTATAAGTAAATCGTTTCAAAGGTCAAGTCATGGGTGATAATTTCAGGACTAAAAATCTTGTGATACGTGTGACAGCCTGGTAACCGTTATTTTTCACAGCTTAAGAGTGTGAACAAAAATACACTATCAAGATTAAGAACAGAAAAGTTACAGCGGCTGGTAGTAAACATAGCATGTTTCAGATTGTGGCTCGGCTCCAGGAAGTTTTAAAATCTTGGAAAAACTTGTAACAACTACATACCAAGTTTACATCATATAAAAGGCTGAATTAGATAACTAACATTATAGTGCAATGATTCCATATATAAAGCCACTTAGAGGAACGTCCAAATTTACTTGAGCCTGGATGTTGCCTTAAATTCGTCTTGGAAGGCGCACACCTATTTTCAGTCTGTTTCGCTGTATCACAGATCATCAATGTGGCTAGACGTCCGTTTGCCTCAAGCTAGGATCGAAACCCGGCTGAATTGGATTATATATTTATATATGAATGGTCGACACTCTTGGAATCTTCTAGAGACAAAGAGGTTTTGGAAGACACAAGAACCAGACACCATACTTAGCAATCCAGATCCCATACTAAAAGGGGAACTTGAACCAATTAAGCTAGCCCCCTTCCCGGCCTGCCTAGAAGTGGACTTATCCCCACAATGGTATAGACACCTTGAGAGTAAAAGAAAACTAGCGTTTATAGTGTCTTTTTTATGTTGTGATACACGTACTAGATATGATAAAAAGCATTTGGCGTCCTCATTTCTTGCTACATTGTATTTCCTTGTTTGCTGTTTGGAAGCTCCTCGAGGTACGTATCAGTTAAATATCTAACAAACCAACACATGAAACAAACTGTATGCACATGGATTTGTAATCAGCGTCCAGTTTTATGAATGAATACACTATCTCTGATATTGAGTATATTTCATTATAAATATAACATACCTTGAAAGTGTATTCTTATCATATATATATATATATATATATATATATATATATATATATATGGAGAGAGATAGATAGATAGATAGGTAGATATTTAATTCAGTTAAAGGGTGACATTTTATGTAACTGTCAAAACTTTTTATTACATTCGAGCAGTTTCGGCTGTGACAATCATTGTCAAGAATTATGAGTTACCAGTATGTTAAGCAAGATACACACACACACACACACACACACACACACACACACACATATATATATATATATATATATATATATATATATATATATATATATATATATATATATAAATCCCCGTAATGATCTATACAATTTCGTATTTTGAAATTTAAATTAAATTAATGTGTTAATAAATGAGTAAAATAATGGGCAGTAGTCATTTTCCCCCACATGTAATTCGCAAGAGGATGACGCTATTCAAATCAGGATATGTAAAATCGGTGGCCGTAATTAAGTTCCATAGTCTAAACATTGCCTGAGTAATAGGAAACTGCCAAATATTAGGAACCTATCAAAATGAAATGATATCATCGCTTATCGGAAAACTATTAATTATTTCTCTGCAGTTCTTCGAAATTTTCACTGCATTCGCTCGTTTATAATTTCTTAAACCCATTCTTAAATATCCTTAAGCACATTATATTACTCATTAGATGTTACGGAATGCTTTACTTGAAAAGATAAGTCTATCAATTTGCTTCTTGCCGCTTGGCAATGAGAATAATCACTGTTCAATAGAATCCCATTTCAAATTATCAGTAGAACAAATCAGTAATGAATC